ATTACACAGGTATGGCATTGGTTCTGGGAAAGGACAGAGACAATCAACAGTACAAACATAAACTTTGGACAGTTTATCCATAATTTTGAGCATAACACCTTATTCAGAAACTGGAAAATACAATAAAATTTAACTTGTCGGTTCTATTTAATCAAACATGTTTGGATCAATACTTGCTGCCTAAATATACCTTAGTTAAATGTTTATTATAAATATTAGCTTAACATTGTAACAAAGTCCTCAAATATCAACCTAAGAATCAGTTAAATACAGTTAGATAAATTTTGTGAATAATTTTCTAAATAATTAAATTTCAACTGGGTATTAAATTAGAGTGAAATAAAAACTATCCATATTATTTTATAAAAAAAAAATTAGAAATGAAAAATAAATCAGGTTTCTTGTGGACCATCTGAAAATTTAAAAAAATTAAAAAGTTATATACAGTTGTCCAAGTGACATTACAAAAATATTATCAATTTAATTTATACATGCATGAAAGTCAAAAGGAAAATGTATATATGCTGCAGTTGTATGTACAAGGTTGAGGTGCATAAAAGCTTTCAGCCTAGACCATTTCTCAAAATTCTGACTAAATGACCTGACATCAGATTTTGAGGATTGTTTTTTTTTTTGTAAGTTAAAAACATTTCATACACACCTAAAGAAATGTTTGAAAATAAAAAAAAACTATCATTTTAAATGTAACTTGAAAAATTTACAGCATAAAAAAAGAACATTTTAACACAACTTTATAATAACTATTACATTATTTATGATAATGAAGCATAAAGTGTAAGACAAAAAGAAAATAAATACTACTAGATTATCAAATAAATTGTCTTAACAGATTTTACTTTAATAATTAAAAATGAATTTACTACTTCAATATAAACAAAAGGCTTTTAATATACAATTCATACTAACTTGAGTATTGTAGATTTACAAGATAAATTTGAGTATGAAAATTGATGACAGCCAAGAAGATTATCATTGTCCTTTGCCTGAAAACTTCCTCACATTTTAAAAATAAAAATTACATTTAATTAAATATTTCTTTCTATATTAGATTAGATTAGATTTAAATATAAGATGAAATTATGGCAAAAAAGCAGTATTTCTACAATTCCAGTTATATTCTATCAAATATAATATGTAGGATAAAGAAGCTGCACTCTTTTCATTTTTTTGTATTTTTTTCCTATTGGAAAATAGAAAATGAAAGTGCTAAGTATATTTATTATTTGAAGAAAAAGTGGGCAATTGATAACTTAAAAGAAAACCTTTGATCATATGGCGACAGTGGGAGAAAGATGCCATTAATTGCATAAATTCATTTTGTACATATTTCAGAATTAAATTATAACAATTATGATCAAAACAAATCATGAGAATTTTTTTCAAATCATACAAAAAGTATTGGAAATAAATTCTCAAATAGCCACTAAATAAATATTTAAGTGGAATTTCAAATAATTGCAGCAGAGTAAATAAGTCTTATGTGAACAAAATTCAAACTATTTCTTTGCTATTTTCTTTAAAAGATTGAATATCTTATTAAATACAATAGAATGACAATATTTATATTCATAGTATTGTGTCTTTTTCACCAATGTACATTTGCACTATGAGTCACATGATGAAACATCACAAGCTATATTTTTGTTCTTATATAGAATAATGTAAAAAATGTTAAATAACTACATAGCAGAATTATTACTAAGTATAGACATGGTGAACAATATGTTCCACTTAAAGTTTGTACAAGATCGCAATTGAGATTAAGGTGGGAAAAGCAGAGGAGGAGGAGGAGATGGAAGGAAAAGCGGAGGAGGAGGAGATGGAAGGAAAGGCGGAGGAGGAGGAGATGGAAGGAAAGGAGGAGGAGGAGGAGATGGAAGGAAAGGAGGAGGAGGAGGAGATGGAAGGAAAGGAGGAGGAGGAGGAGCAGAAGGAAGGAAGGAAAGGAGGAGGAGGAGGAGGAGATGGAAGGAAAGGAGGAGGAGGAGATGGAAGGAAAAGCAGAAGAGGAGGAGGAGACAGGGGAGGAGCAGAAGAGGAGACGGGGGAAAAGACAGAAGAAGAAGAATAAGAGGAGGAGGAGGCGAGGGGAAGACAGAAGACAAGGGGGAAAGACAGAAGAAGAATAAGAGGAGGAGGAGAAGGAATAAGGACGACAGGGGAAAAAGACAGAAGAATAAGAATAAGAGGAAGAATAAGAGGAGGAGGACAGAAGAAGACAGGGGGAAAGACAGAAGAATAAGAATAAGAGGAGGAGGAGGAGGCGACAGGGGGAAAGACAGAAGAATAAGAATAAGAGGAGGAGGAGGCGACAGGGGGAAAGACAGAAGAACAAGGACGAGGAAAGACAGAAGAAGAACAAGGACGAGGAAAGAAAGACAGAAGAACAAGGACGAGGAAAGACAGAAGAAGAACAAGGACGAGGAAAGACAGAAGAAGAATAAGGACGAGGAAAGACAGAAGAAGAATAAGGACGAGGAAAGACAGAAGAAGAATAAGGACGAGGAAAGACAGAAGAAGAATAAGGACGAGGAAAGACAGAAGAAGAATAAGGACGAGGAAAGACAGAAGAAGAAGAAGAAGGACGAGGAAAGACAGAAGAAGAAGAAGAAGGACGAGGAAAGACAGAAGAAGAATAAGGACGAGGAAAGACAGAAGAAGAATAAGGACGAGGAAAAGACAGAAAGAAGAATAAGGACGAGGAAAGACAGAAGAAGAATAAGGACGAGGAAAGACAGAAGAAGAATAAGGACGAGGAAAGACAGAAGAAGAATAAGGAGAATAAGGAAAGACAGAAGAAGAATAAGGACGAGGAAAGACAGAAGAAGAAGAATAAAAGACGAAGGAAAGACAGAAGAAGAATAAGGACGAGGAAAAAGACAGAAGAAGAATAAGGACGAGGAAAGACAGAAGAAGAATAAGGACGAGGAAAGACAGAAGAAGAAAAGACAAAGACAGAAGAAGAATAAGGACGAGGAAAGACAGAAGAAGAATAAGGACGAGGAAAGACAGAAGAAGAATAAGGACGAGGAAAGACAGAAGAAGAATAAGGACGAGGAAAGACAGAAGAAGAATAAGGACGAGGAAAGACAGAAGAAGAATAAGGACGAGGAAAGACAGAAGAAGAGAGACATGGAAAAGAGAAAAAGTGAGATTAGAAAAAGAGAGACATGGGTAGCACAAACAAAATACTCAGAAACAATAAAACAAAACAGGAAAATCAGAAAAGACAAACTTTAGTAATCTGACATTTTCAAAATCAGTTTTTGTCTTTAATTGGAGATTTGGTTTATATTGTTATATAATTATCTGTAATGTAAAAAATGAATTAATGAAGTTTTTGCAATAAACAAATACATTTATCAAATGAGAAATTTCTTAAGCATGTAATATTTTGAAATTACATTTTCTATAACTGATCAAACAAAACAGTGACATGATAGAAGGATTGAATACAGAACTCAGAATTTTCAAACAGAAAATTAAACATCTGACTTAGCATCTTCATACACAAACCATGCAACTTCAGAAAAAATCAAGTCTACTGTTATGAAATCTGAGCAATTAAAGGAAGAACAGAGAAAGAATCGATGAAACAAAAATAAATAAAAAGAGAATTAGAAGAGACATTTTCATCTTCATACATTTAGAAGAGGCAAAAATAGAAGACAAATATAATGCACTTGAACATATAACAAAGAACTACAGATGAAATCAAACCAACAAAAGACAATGTTCACTTGAATTTTTTTTTTTAAATAAAAGTAAAAAAAGGTAAAGAAAAAAAGAAAAGAAGGGAAACTGGTAAACTTGGATCTTCCTGCCCACAAAAATACAGTGTCTCAAAAGGATGGTTTCTCTATTGATACCAACTATTATTTTAGTTGTCTTCATTCCTTGGCAATCTTTGTTTTAAAAAGCAATGATTAGAATTGTAATAAAACTTAAATATATGAAAGTTTCTTTATACATTTTCTTTGTTCTTGAGAAATGACAACAAAAATAATAAACAATATTTACTTATTAGGTTGTTTATTTACATTATTATATTGTTTATTGGAATGGTTGGCAAAACATCAGCTAATTGCCAATTGATATGAACTTTATAAAATGGTAAATAAAGATTTCCTTATAGTTGGTTCACATATTTGAATAATTTAGTAAATGTCTATAAATTTATGAATAAAAAATTGTTTTCATATTTATTTCTTTATAAATTAGTAAATGATAAATATTGCATTGTATTAGTTTTTAGAATGTTGAAAATATAAAATTATTCTTGTAAATAAAAATTCAATAAATAGTATTTATTATTTTTGTTGTCAATTCTCAAGAAAAAAATTTTATAAATTCACTTTCATCATATGTTTATTTTATTAAGATTCTAATCAGCACTTTTTAAAATAATAAACATTGCCAAGGAGTGATGGTAGTTAAAATAATAGCAGTGTCAAGGGAAAAACCATCCTTTTGATACTGTTTTTCATTTTTTTTCTTTTTTTTTTTTTTGTGGGCACGGAGGTTCAAGTTTGCCAGAAGACTAATATTTTTACCAAAGTGATAAGCAAAATGATTGGGGAAGATATCAAAATTAGAGGGAAGAAGCACATGACAATGACCACTAAAAACTAATTCACTACTATATGACTAAAATAGCTAAGTTCAGCTAAAGAGCAACAGATATAACTTTTCATCTGTTTTAAAGTACATAACACGCACGCACACACACAAAAGGATAATGAATGAACAAGAGCAGTGCAAGAAAGAATAATCCAACTGGAATGAAATCGAAGAACAAATAAGGTAACAATAAAAGGAGAAATAAAAGTGTTGGGTAAAGGATGAAGAAAGAGAGGAAAATAAAGTAATTAATGCTAAAGGCTCAAGCATTGTGCATATCTAAAAGACCAATATAAATGGAAAGAGAAAGAAGTGTTGCTTGCAACACACATTTGTGCAAAAACAACTCCATCGTCTGCTTAGAACAGACCTGAAGGACTTGCTGGTGGCTTGAAGCCTGAAGCCGATGGACTGGCCGGCGGATTGAAAGCTGCAGTGGATGGACTGACCGGTGGATTGAAGGTGGAACCAGCTGCTGGGCTGACAGGACGATTGATGACCGGACTTGCCGGAGGAACAATAGCAGGACTAACCGGTCGTGCGAATGCTGGGCTGACCGGCCGTTTTGGAGCCAGCGGATCCAGGGATTCAAGAGGATCAAGAAGATCGTCCAATTCCGTGTGGACTGAGCAGGCATGACAAAGATACAAAACACATTGCAATCGAAAAGTCCAAGGATAATCCACAAGAATAAATTTTTTGAATACTTAGAATCAAATGAGACAGAACAGAAACGAGCAGTGTGTGTGTGTGTGTGTGTGTAAGAAAATGTGAAAATGTGTGTGAGCAAAATGACATTGGATGAAATAAAAACAAATAAGTAGTTGGTTTTCAGGGAGGGGGGTGTAAGTTATTTTCTTAAAAGCAATAGAATTTTCATTTTTTTTTTCTCTCTCAAAAAGAAGCTACAAAGAAATGCTACTATTGACAGCCTCCACTTGATATCAGGTCATTTCCTATTTATAGAAGTTATAATTATTTGCAAATGCTAATCATCACTATGATCAACATTAAAAGATTTCCACTGGTATGCCACTATTGTTAACAGAGTACAAGGATTCTTCCTTGTTTATTTCCTTAAGAAAACTTGACAGGTGAAAAATCTAATTAGCTGTTAATAAACCTGGATTTATGTCACTTAGAATATTTTTTTTTTTGTTTTATTTGGTTTTGTCAATTTATGCTGAATTAAAAGTTACAGGGAAACTAGTCGACCAATTGGACCAGAAAGTTTTTTATTCACCATTATTTTAATAGTATCGTACTAACAAAATTGTGCTACAATGTACAATTTTGGCTGTTATAGCAGCAAACAGAAACAAAGAAAAATCAGATTATGAAATTGATACTAAATAAGTCATAACACTTTAAGCAAGACACACACCAATTATCATTTATGGATACTGTAGAAGAGAAAATAATTAAATTTAGTTAATAGTAACAGGTTTTGTTAATAATGATCTATAATGAAAAAGAAAACACTTTAGTCTCAATCAAAAGTTATAGATATTTTTAATATCACAGGATCCTGGTGTGAGTAAATTAAGTGATTGTATTTATTGAGGATAGCTTCATAAAAGTCATAGCCACAATTTTGGAGTACCCAATAAAATCCATTCTTGTTCATGATTTTCTAACAAAGTTCCCATAATATTTGCTAAGTTTAGATGAGGATGGCTTAACAGATAACAGCACAGAAAATGGAATCCGCAAGCTGAGTTCAAATTCCAGCTGAGAGTTTAAATTCACTTTGTACTTATATCCTTCTTTTTATTTCTTCTTCCCACAACAAGTATGGGTAAAACAGCAGGGTAGACTGGGCTATCTAGCTTTGGTTAGCAACCAGTCTAAAAGTACAATTGAATTCAAAAACCATAAGTAGAGTCCACTGTCATTAGGTAAAGATAGCAAAAAGTAGAGGATGGAATTTGTAATCCACTCTCATAAAACCTATTTGGTAAAATATGATCCAAAATTTTTTGATATAGAATCATAAGTGTCTTGGGACAATAAGAACTAAAACTCATTACAGTAGAAATGGTCTGTGAGTCTCACTAACACCTGCAATCACTGAATGAGTAGAAAAGAATAAAAAAGCCCAAGAATTTCTTTGCTAAAATAACGTTTGAGGATAATTGCAAAGCTTATTGTTGAATCATTTACCTTATGCAGTAAAGAGAAAATCAACTTCATATATTCTTCCAGAAAATTAAAGATATTTATAATTATGGTATAAATTTACTGTTTACAAAAATTCAAAGTTTGGAAAATATAAAATTCCAACTTGGGAATTCTTGTAAAAGCTATTAATCAAAAACAACATTAAATTCTTGTCTAAACATTAAAAGTACAAGATTTTTTCAGAATTATTCTTTCTTAGAACAAGTTATATATTAAAAAAAAAAAAAAAAATCAGATAAATTCTAAACAAAGTTGCAAAAATATTCCTACAAATGGTGGGTATGGATAAGGGCAGAGTTAATTGGAAATGTTCTTTGGTTTAGTCAAACCAACCAAATTCCTGTAGAAGGAAAAGAAAACAGATTTTTATATAGTATAAAAATGAAACAATTTATTTTATACATATGCCCATTGTAAAAGAGAGACAATAACATAAGTGCTATTAAAAATTATAAACATAAAATTTAAAAGAATTTTAACCAATTAACTGCAATTGACAAGAATTTCCATCATTTAGTTTTATGGTTCAACTGTGAAGGGTGAAATTCTTGCCACAGTTAATTGGTTAAGTTTGTAGAAAGTAGGCAGCAAACATGTTACAATTTTTATTCATAAACCAAATATTACCAACAAAAAAACAAAAAACGTTTTAGTCAAGTAAGAGCCAAAATCTTTTTCAATTGTTATCTATTAGCAGACAAGTAAAAAGCATATGAAGCTTAATCCTAAAACAAACTCAAGATTTCAATAAACATTAGGAAAGTAAATAAAAATAAATAGAATAATAATACATTGGATACAACTTCATAATTAGAATACTTGTTTTTAATCAATTTTTATTTTCTAAAGAGTGAGATTAAAATAACTGAATCATTTCCTGGTGCTAAAATTTTATAGGAAAAAAACATGAATACACTGACTAAAGCTTAATTTAGAAATTTACTTTTAAATAAAATCTGCAGACAGGATATGGATGGATGGATATATATATATATAAAGAGAAAAAAGACAATAGGAAAACTGCATGTAGTTTTAGCCCATGTATTTCATCCACTGCAGATTTTTTTTATTGCTTTAAAAAAGATTAATTCTGAGAATTTTTTTTTTTTTTTTACACACGTGTGTGTATATATATATATATATATATATATATATATATATATATATATATATATACACACACACACTCCTGATCTGGTATCTTACCTCCAGTTGCTTTCCCACTGTCATAATGTAGAATCACTGCGCTTTTTCTATAAATACTTTTATGGTAATTGTTCAGATGAAGTTTCCTCTATGGTACATAGACTTGATGAATTTAAGCACTGTACTTATCATTTTACAGTTGAAATCGCTAGACATAGCCATAAGTTCTGTTAATAGTTTCTTCTATCACACTTCTTACCTGTGGAACTCTTCTGGCTACTTGCTTCCCAAACTTTGATGTTCAAAAATTTAAATGCAATGTCAATTATTATCTTTTGTAATCTTAATTCTTGTTCTTTTATTGTTCTCTCTTCTTAATAGTATTTTTCTCTCATACTCAGTAACACATTGTATCATAGTGGCTTTATTGCCTTGCTTGGGGTGAAGTGATTTAAAAAAGATTTATTTTTAAACCAACATCTTTATTACTTCAAATGTTATTATAATGGATACTTGTATGGGGCAACTATTTCAAATATGAATATCCATTATAAAATTTAAAAAAAAAAAAAAATTTATATATCTCCCTCAATAAATCTGTATCATAATGAAAAAAATAAACAAATATATTTTTCAACATAATCTCTTTTGTCAATACACTTAATCCCGAAGTGAATATTAATCTAATAGCCCAAACATTCTATAGTGAAAATTTCAGATGAAAATTCAGTTAATAACTATGTGTAAAGCCTATGGACATTGATCCACCTTTGTAGCTATATGAACTGATGATGAAGGTTTACTGCTTATCTTTGAAAGTATTAATCATGTATCATATTTTAAAACTCATTTTGATGAGTTATTATTTTCTCTTGAAAAGCTAAGAGCAGTTATCAAGAATTTTATAATAAAAAAAAAAAAAAGTCTGGCTCCAATTTCTACAGACAAAGCTAAAGTTGACAGTCCAATATTTGAAAGACAATTATTCTTTGTTAACTGTCTGTAGTAAGAATTCTGTTAAATATTAATAACACATTGACTAATCTAACTGCAAACAAAACTTGAAAACTAATGAAAATGTTATAGGAAACAAAAAATCAGATAAAAGAATTGCAAAAAAAAAAAAAAGCAGTTTGACTGACAGTATAAAAATTGTTGGTAAGACTAACAGATAAATCACAATAAATACATGACAAATTTACTAAAAGTACCTTCTGTTACTTGAGTAAAATTCATAAAATGTTCATAAAAGAATACAGAACTTGTATTTCATTGCATAGAAAATGTATCATCTCAAGTAATTTCTAATGACAACGTATATATTTCATAAGATCATGCAAAAATAATGTTGCATTTTTATTTTGCTTTTGCACTTTTTAACTGATCATAAAAAAATCAACTGATAAAAAAAAATTCATGGTGATCTGCAAGTATTCAAACTGAAGTCATAATTTCTGAACTGAAAAGTTGAATTTTAAAATGGCTTATATAAAATCAGAAAAAGAAAGTTTAGCATTTTAACTGAGTAACAATCAAATCTCATTTCCTTTAGTATTGAATATTTAAGGCTAGCCTTTACAAATAAATAAACAAGACAAATCAAAATATCAAAATTAAATTAAAATATGCACATCTATTCCAAGAAACAAAGTATTTTAAAAAAAAAAATATGGTGAAAGTTGTTATCCAAGAAAGTTGACTTCAAGTTATACATTGTCATTGTAAACTAATTGATACAGAAAATTGGCACTAAAGTATATTTTGGTTTCATAATGAACTGATTTCAGTCAGTCATTACATAGAGACCAAAATTTTAAAAATTAACTGAATGGTATACTATTTACATAATATCTCATCTCAGAAATATAGACAGATACTAACTGAAGGGTATATATTATAAAAGCAAAAATTCTTAGGTAAACAGCATTAAGTTTATTTTTAAAAATCATATTAAGAAAAAAGCAATTGTTCCATTAGAAACAAAATTAAAGTATGAGTGTAATAATTTTAAGTATAAAAACTGCAAACAAATATTTTACAAAATATTGAAATTCTAACATTTAAGTCAAATTATTTTAAGTTATTAGGATATCCAAGGTACGGCTAAGAGAGATTACAGCTCATCATATCCATGAACAAACATGAATTATTCAGTTAGAATTATTCTCCCAAATCAGAAAGTTAGTTTAAAACTAATTTAAGTAAATATTCAATATAATGAAGTGTAGAAAAAGAGACATTAGGTTATCTGAATAATTTATGAAGGATGCATATTCTAAGACTGTAAATAGAATAATAAGTGTCAACTTAAAATAATCAAATTAAAAATAAAATAATCAAAAATGCAAATTCATCTGAAATAAAACAAGTTTGTAAACATTTAAAAATGAAAATTGATACATCTGCATAAAAAAACAAAAAAAGAAAATTATTTCTAAAAACATAGTTTTAATCTGTTTTTTATTATTATTTAGTTAACTAAAAAAAAACTGACTATTGGCAGAACATCAAAACAACAATGAAGACAAAAATATAAGAATTGTTACAACAGACATCAACAAAAAGAACGTGCAAGACAATTGAACAAAAATTTAAAAAGCTTTTTAAACAATGAAAAGTTATTATTAAATTATCTATTTAAAACAATTGGTTTTATTTTATATTTGTGTTAACATATTTTGCATCTACATATCTAGAAATATACTAAAGTTATTAACACATATCCTCCTGGTGTTAGTTTAAATTGATACCTCTTGCCCCAACCCACTTATACCTAAACTATAATTTTGGACAGTTAAAATTTCACTGAAATATGCTGAAAAATTTCCAAGTTTTCATTTGAAATAAAAAATGCAAACTTTAAGCAAAATAACCACAATATATAGAAAAAATGGTTTCAGTTTAAACAGACATCAGAAGAAAGAGCCTTTAAAAACATTAGACATTATTTCTTAGATTCCAAATTAAGTTAAATACATCTTTATAATTATTTAACTTTAGTCATTATATTAAGCATTGTTGATTCAAAATACAAATCTGAATGAATAAGTATTGACTATTTAAATTTGTCCAACTTTAATTACAAAGTAATCAGATTAAATTTATTTAATCAACAGATTATACAGAGAAGAAATTTGGTAACTGGATTGTCTAGCATTCATTAAAAGAAAGATCTTGTAGAGAATAGAATATGTAATTCTAACTTAATCAAAAACAATAGAATTTTCAACTTTGCAGAGTTTGTTTATATCTTTGAATAAAAAGTACAGTAGGCAAAGCAGAGAAAAATGGAGTCAGCAAACCAATTCTGGCTGAAATTGATAATGCTCACTTAAGCATGAAAACCCTTTTTCTCTGTATCCTGTACCATCATCAGTTAACCTGACAAAATGTCTTGACTCAAATGCTCGACAGAGAAAAGAATGAGAAACTGAATAAAACACACTTCCAGGGTGCATATATGCAGCACAATCTGAAAGCAGTTATCTCAAGAGCCAATCAGGCTACAATCAATTTGAGCAAAATTTGTTTAACAAATTGCCTGCCATAGGTCAATTAGAAAATCTTACTTCAAATGCCAACTTTATAACAACTAACTTAGGCAATAATAAATGTTTTATGAATTGATTTATAGCTTCAACTGAAGTTTTAATATTGTTTGCATACTAAAAGTATCACTGCTAATAAACTTGTTGGCGGCTGCAGATGAAAACATATCAGAAAATGGCAAGGACTTGATAATAAAGCACTGCATCATAATAAAAAAAAAAGTGCCAACCCAAAGTTATTTTGTAGTTAGCAGTCAGTGTGTTAAAACAAATTTTATGAACTTTACTTCAAATAAGGATTTTTATAATTATTATTATTTGTTACTTTGGTAACAAAAGTCAGTACTACACTTTGAACAGTTTTTGAATGTAATTACAACATTTGGATGACTTTTAGACAAACTTAATATCTGATGATAATAACATATGTCAGTAACAGATGCTTAAGTAATACAACAAAGTATTTACTATAATAATTTTCTCTTGAAAGTATTTCAAATATGTATCCTCAAAGAAATGTTTAAATGCACACTAACATTTTCTTGTATGTTTAAATGTACACTAATATTTTCTAGTATGTTTAAATGTAAACTAACATTTTATAGTACATTTAAATGTGTGCTAACATTTTATATTAGCTTAAATAGATTGAATTCACTTGTAGAGTCTAAACACAACCTTTTAAAAAGAAAAATGAAGGAGTGACTTCCAAACAAATTTTGCAGTAAAGTTTCTAATAATCAAAATACATGTCATCTTATATTGATCAGAGAACTGACATTACTTCAAATATAACACTAGTAACATAATATTAGCAGAAATGTACATTTTAGTATAAATAATTCCAAGTACAATATATAAAGCTTGAAACTGTTAAGATGTAAAAAAAGATGAAAGTGTATGTACCTGCAGGTGGCACCGGTGAAGGGCTCGGAGCCAGGGTGGCAGCAAGAGGAGATGCAGAAGTAGTAGCAGCAGCATTAGAAGGAGATATGATGTCCATTACACCTGCTATTGCATGCAACAAAAGTAGGAGGATGCAGTTAGTTACAGTTAGATACTTACTCAAGTACCTAGCTCAATAGCAATGGTAGTGATAATATGCCATTGGTTGTAATAACTACTTTTGATTAAATGGCATATGTTAGTTACACACACACACAATATGGCAGGATTAAAATGCCAATGTATTAAAATAGTTCAATTCATATATATATGATAAAATAAAGAACAAATATGAAACAAATATTAATCTAACATGTTTTACTTTTATTAAAGCTTTGTCAGAAGTGAAACATGTTAGATTGATATACATTTCCTATTTGTTCTTTATTTTATCATCCTGTCAGATTCAATCCATATTTGATCTTTAAATCATATATATATATATATATATATATATATATTTATTTGATCTTTAAATAATATATTTATATGTGTGTGTGTATAATAGGCTAAGAAACAAGTAGTAAATATTTATAAATTTAACATTTCACTTTTATTTAAGCTTCATCAGAAAATGAAATATAGGAAAAAAAATTCTGGTATTTTTTTTTATTTTTTGTGTTGGTGGTTATTTTACAAAAAAAAAAAAAATTTTTCTTTCAGATTAAATAAAAGCGATTTGTGTTAAATTTATAAATGTTTCCTATTTGTTTCTTATCCTATCATTGCCAGATAAGATTCTAATCCACACACACACACACACATATATATAAGAATTGTAGATGGGTTCATAATATAACTCTTGCTTGAAGCTAAAATTTGAAATTAAGAATAAAAATCTTTGTGCAGATATAACACATACTTCAAGGTAATACCAAATGTTTTGTTTATATTATTAAACATTAATCTTTGTTAGTTCACCTATTGCCTCCTTGTTCATTTCTAAATGCTATTTTGTCAATGACTACTTTCCATCATAGGCATGCAATAATTCATGATAATTCTTTTATGTATTAGAGATACATAAAAATTTAATATGAGAAAAGAAATAAAGAGAAAAGAAAAAAGTTTTACATATGAGAAAAATGTCTGCCTATAATTTGTAATTACTATGGTAATATTAGCCTTTTCCTTATAAGGAAACATTTGGCATTCATTGACCAAGCCATAAGTACTGTTGCTATTGAAATTTATAAAATCATTCTATCAAAACAATTTTCAGGAAATAGGTTTTTCAAGTCCAGTAGCTGTTATTGCTCTTTCCAGTATTGATAGGGATTTCCTTCCTAACTTTTTGTTTGTAGTAATGTGGAATGTCAACCTATAAATTGTAGCTATAATTGTGCTGACATTCTTTTTCCAGTAAAGAATACATTTTCTTAATATATTTTACAATAAAATCACTTAATTCTTAAATATCTATAATCAACAGAGAAGTAGATTTTAAAAGATTCCATGCTATATAGATTAAAAAGAAGTACATCTTGAATTGTATAGCATTGGATAAAGGGACATAACTACTTCACCATTATTGCTTAAAGAACAGTACTAACAGACAAAAACAAAATATCATATTGCCTTGGTGTATAAAGTAATACAAGCTACAAGGCAGTTAAAAAGAACAAAAACTACAAATTAATTGAGATTAATATCTATATCTTCATAGGCAACAATTGTATTTAGGTTTACCATAATTTTCAAGCCTCAAACAGAGTTTTCATGAGTCAAAATGGTTTGTTTCTTTGTTTAGAGGCATATCAACTTCTTATGGGTCATTTAATGCTGAAATTTAATTTTCTTGTGAGCATTAATAATGTCATTTACAAAAATGTATTGCTGTTAATTCCCCCCCACAAATATATTTTTACTATGAAAATGTATTTTTATACTTTTATACATTCATAGTGTTTTGACTCCAGTTTGGGGTTTAACTATTTGCCTATAGCTGGGACTCTAACAGGTGCTACCACCCTGGATTAGGGTGGACCTGGGAATAATAGCAATTAAGATGTGGGACTACGCTCTTCAAAACCTCCCGATTAGAAGCTTTGCTTCTGGATATAGTTTATTGTCATACCCAGAGTGCACAGCCGTTAAGGTTCAGTGATGACAAGCACACCTTATATCACTGGGAAAGATCTCTCAAGTTTGGTAATATAGTTTAATAACCAGTTTTTCTGTTACTAAGAGAATTTCAAAAGAAATCAAATGCAAGATATATTGGCAAAAGTATAAAAATCTAAGGATGTTGTGTAACAGATATTGGTGCAGAAAGTGAAAGAGGCGAGTCAAGTTCAAAATCTACTGGATCTATTGTGTTTACTTGCACATAAATAACCCTTGTCAAAGGTATGAATCCATCTCTTCTCTCACCAGCTATGGATTACTGAGTATTAGTTCTGGATGACAACCAGAGAAGGAAAACTGAACACTAAACTCTGGGAAAGATACTTGGAAACCAAAGATAATAAAGAAAAGGAATCTGTGGAGAGTCATGATTGCCTATATTCTAAAATATTTAAAAATAAATAAATAAATAAACCCCTAACAGAAAAGTAGTAAAATTTTACCAATGAAGAATCTCTTACTTACACTTATTTAAAATAATTTCCTGTAATCAACAGGATTCAAATAAAAATTAATTTCCTGTAATTCTTAAATAAAATTCAAAAAAATTAATTATTTGTGCAGTCATTTTCAGAAAAATCAGAAAATGATTTAATTATTTTACTCAAATTATCCAAGATATTAAAAAAAGAATGTAAACATTTGGTAATACACATGAGTATGAAGAGAGTCAGTAATTTAAATCACTTCAACAATGTGTGTTTGTGTGTGTATTTGTTTATGAAAAATAAACATGAAGAACACAAGAGCAATTAGTAAGCCATGCAGAAAGAAACACCAATAATAACCAGAGATGAGATTCTATATGACAAAATATTGGCACTATTATTTGAAAAATTAAATAAAGCAGCAAGGGTATTCTTTAAAAATAGCAATGATCAGTTATATTGCAAATATTATTTAGGAGTAAATTAGGTTCTTTCATTCAACCAATTAAAAAACAAAATATTCAAGAACAGCTTTTAACTCTCAATACCTATTTTTTTAAAGGGCGAGTCAGTTATGTGTAGATGTAATATTTACTAACATCAGTGGCCAAACAAATCAAATTTTCATTTTATGATTGTAATTATACAGAATAATAATTTAGAATAGAATAATACTTTAACTATTTTATATACTATTTCATACACACATACACACACTTAAAGATCTTGGGTATAATAAAACTGGCTTCTATGAATACTAATAAATTGAATATATACAGTGTGTGTGTGTGGTCGGGGGGTACTGAGCGATGAAAATTTCTCAGCCCAACTTATTTCCCAAAATCTAAACAATTGACCAAACATCAAATTTCTTTCTTTTTTTTTTTTTTTGGAAGTGTTTCTTGGTTGGGCCAAGAACTTTTCAATATCCTCTTCTAAGAAACTAATGACAACTGATTTGAGTTAACTTAGAAATTTTTCCTTTAAGGAAATAATCCCATGCACATTCTTGATATTGTTGTTTTATTGATTGATTTGTTTCCTATAGCTTATCAACCTTTTACATGTTATTTAAAGCCAGAAAATACTTTTAGAGTGTAAGAAATATTTTTTGGGAGATAATGATTTAGCAATACAAGTCTTACTAATTAACCCATAGCTGGGGAGAGAAGAGCAGGATTCATACCTTTCCCAAGGGTATTTGCATGTAAGTGAATATAATGAACTTAACTGGAATTGGAACTCAGCTCTCTATAAATAATTCCCAGCCATTGTTCATTACACCACCTGCACATCCAAGCTTAGAGCACCTGGTATTCCCAAGTGGTTACCCATCTAGGTAATGACCAGGCTTGACATTCCTTAACTTTGGTAAACATATGAGAACCAGTGTTTCAACATGTGACTGTAAGCCCTTTCTGATATTGTAATGATGCATATAGCTACACATTTGTGGTAATTGTATATACTACTATTGTCAACATCTTTATTCCTGATAAAGGAAGGTATTATATAGAAAATCAACATTTTGTGCATTCATTTTAAAATGCCTGCCATTATAGATCATAATACAGATTTATTATACTATATACTTTCCTTACAATAACTTTCAGGAGTCAAAAAGCATTTTTATCTCAATAATGATAAACAATTTTGTTGTTTAAAAATTGTTGGGAAGAAAAAATATTAAATATTTTTTTATGTATTTTATTATGACCATTTTATCTAAATTTATTATTCTCACAGGGTTTCAACAAGTAAATCTCTAGTATTTTATTTCATCCAAATAAAAGGAGAGCTTTGTTGCTAAAAATATTTAAAGTACAAAATAGAAGAGAAACTTGAATAAAATTACTACTGTCTACAACAGGTTTTAGTTAATTGAATAACAATAGGTGAAAACAGACAAAAGTAGATGGCTGTCAACCTTAGGTAATATTTAAGCTTTCAAAGAATTGGAGGGGGCTATAAATAATGGTAATATTAGCCATTTCCTTATAAAGAAACATTTGGCATTTATTGGCCAAGCTGCCATTGCTACTATCATATGAAATTTATAAAATCCCTCTCTTAAAACAATTTTTCAGGATAACAGGTTTCTAAAGTCCAGTAGCTGATTGCTTTTCCTCCTGTATTGATGGCGGCTTCCTTCCTAACCTTTTGCTTGAAGTTGTGTGGAATGTCAACATCTTGATTAAGTTATTATTATCTCTTACAGTTACATGTGACATCCATTTTAGTTGTTGCAGTTATTGAATGTCCTCAAGTGATATTTTTGTTATTTGGTAAAGTTCTTTATGATTTTGTGACATGCCAGTCCACAAAGGTGGTCCTAACTGATACCTAGAGGTTTCATTTGCTCAAAACCATTTGTAATCACTGATCTGAGAAAGTGGTTATGTACAGCTGAGAGTTTAGATATTTCTGGACAAGTTTGATGCTATATATGACATCCATATGAAAGTCTCAATCTGATGAGAGTATTTAAAAACATGAATCAAAATATTCCAT